TGGCCCATCGAAGAAGCTCGGTCCTGATGCTACCGGCTGACCCCTGGCCGGTATCGCCCACCTGCTGTAGCAGGTATCGCACCTGCTGGTGGGTGCAGCTCCCGCATGTTCCCTCGTTGGCGGCTTGAGCACGGACGTAATAATACTATAATGAAAAGAAAAAAGGCCTGGAAGGCTGTCCTGTCCAGATTTGACAGGTCAGGAGTTTGAACTGATTGACTTGTTCCTTATCTGCCACATCCTCTGAGTTGAAAACCAGTTTGTTCCGACCAGACCATATCACAGCAAAGCCTATCGCTGGTGTTACCTGAGCGATATATCCCCAGCCCTTGTCTAATTGGAGGTTCTGCGGAATTCCTCCAATAAAGACCCACATTTTGTCCCACTGCAGGGCATTGTTGGACAACCTTTCCCAGGCTATCGACCACCATTTCCAGATTCGGGTTGAGGCTGGACGGTCCCACCATAGGTGGACTGAGGACTCGAACGCCCACTGGCATCTTTTGCAGCTAGTGTCCACGTTCATCCCTCTTTCCTTCAACCAGATTGCTGATGGTGTTGCCATCAGAGAAAGAAGCCATGGGGTAACCGCCAGTCTTTGTGCGGGCATCAGATACAGTTGTTGCCAGCAACGGAGAATGGCTTTCACAACCTGCTCTGGGTCAACTTGGAGGACCCTCACCCATCTGTCTGCTGCCACCATTTGGGGTTCTTTAGATACATCCTGCAGCTTGTAACCCAGCTCCACCGTATAATCCAGCACTGACAGATGAGAGCCCTCTGACCCTCTCCCCCTCCCCATGTTCTCTGCTGGGGGTCTATTTTCCTTTCTGCGATGGACTTACTGTTTCCCCATAGAGTCACTGTCCAGTCCCCATCCTTGTTGCACTGTTCCCTTACTCTAATCTGTGATAGCACCGCTGGTGGTCTACTGGAGGGCTGTTCCTCCTCTACCAATTCCAATCTTGTTGAGTTCCCACATGATTGCCACAGTTTAAAGTTCCTACCTCTTTCTCTCTCGTACCCTGTCAGTTTCCAAAACTCCCTCCTCTCTTGGGCCAGTTTGTCTACATACCAAGTCCCTGGTGGGTCTAAGTTCCCGGACTCCAGAATAGTCTTCCACGAGTCAGGGATAGCCTGAACGACCTCTTGTAACCTATTCTCCAGGCAACTGTTGTTGCGCAGTCCTAAGGCTCTTGCCGCTACCCAATCCAGACTGAATTCGTCCCAGATATCCCTTACCCGAACCACTCCGTTTTCTATCCAAGTTCTTCCAAAACTGCCAGGTTTCCTGTCTGCTGCCAACCATCTTCCTTCTCTGTCTCTGATTAGCGGATTTTCAAACAAGATCTGCGTTAGGACTTCCTGCTTTGTTACCAGCTCTGTGCAACTGTCCGGTTTGATCTTCTGCCAAGCCCTCAAGATCCCTGTCCACAGTTCTGAGTTAACCGGCCTGCGCAAGTACGAATCAATCCAAATGCAGGCCCAGGTATCTTCCATTCTGCTCAAGTGCCAACTGTCCGACAGTAACCTTTCAGCCAGCCTCACTCAGTGCATCTCGCTGTTCTCCTCTAGCGCCTTGGGGACCCAGGCTGCAAGCATCGCTGTATTCTGCTTTCCTGGGTCTTTCAATCTCAATCCCCCTTCTTGTCTGCTATGGCAGACTGTATCCCATGCAACTTTCGAGATAAAACCTTCTGACTCCAAGCCGTAGGGCTTCCAAATAAAATTTGCTGCCCTCCTTCTTACAACCTTCTTAACTTTCATGCCCAACGGAGGAGAAAAGTGGAGAGAGTGCCTGATAAGCAGAAAGGCAGGAGATGGTTCGGAAACACGTGGGGCGACAGAGGCAGTTTGGTGTCTGTCAAGGGTGATCGAATGTTGTCTTTTTTGGATTGGTTACAAAAGGGAGGGTAGGCTAGGGAGAGAGATGACTACCAACCAGGCGCACTCGGTTGTAATTTCCGTGACAGGAAGTAAGAGGGATTGAGAGGGTTGGAGAGTGTCCAGGTGTAGGAGGACGGAGATCCACCCCGACGTGTTAGTCGGGGCCTTGAGGGGACCTTACCCCGATAGTAAGTAGGCTAGTTTAGATTCGCTGTTTGGTTGGTTTTCCCCTTTTGTTTAGCTTGCCTGTAAACGTTTATGTTGTTTTTTTTCGGTTGCTCTCCGGAAGACTTCGGCCTACCGGTCTTTTGTTTTAAAGGCTCTGCCTAGTGTTGTTGGGGTAAAACCCACATACCGATACTGGGTAATGGTCCCAGAAGTGACGAATTCATTACCGGGTTGTTTGTGAGGAATTCCCGGCCTCATGTTTTTTTTCATGATAAAGGATTCCTTGCTTCCCCCCCCCCAAAAAAAAAAAAAAAGATTTGACAGGTAATTGAATTGGTTGGGCTTAAAGAATTAGCCTACAAAAAAACAAGAAAACGGACCGGTGTTTAAACTTTAAGCCAACAGTACGAGATATGGCGTGGATGCTGCCATGTTTCACAGGAAGTACGGGGCCGAGGTCCCACTACCGGTAGCAAAAAGGATAGGATCGAGCTCCTAAGTCTGGATGTGTTTTAAGCAGAGATGCAGAAAAGCAGTTCAATCTCGATTTTCTGCACATCTCCATAACCTCGTCCAGATTCAGGCATTCGATCCGATCCTCTTTGCTAGTGGGACCACGCCCCTGGGGTGCCATCTAGTGGCACATGCATCCAGGCAAAAAAGGTCGCATGCAAGGAATGATACGCATCCCGTCTCTGAGAAAACTGTTTAGCCAGGTGTAAAGTTCAAGGGGGCCAGTTGCTGCTGTCTTCACACAAATAGAATTTTTCCTGGTGATTATCACTGTATCTAGACTGAAAGTTTCCCCAAATACAGCTACAATGACCAAGCTTTTAATTCGGGTAAAGAGGGCAGGTGCAATCAGACTCGTTCTCAAACACACTTTTCATGCATGTAAACAGCAACACAGCATACTGGCGACGTGCGCCCACTCAAAACTCGGAGATATGGCTTTCAGACACGAGTTCACTCTTAATTGGCTATGGCGACTTCAGCGCCCAAACATCTCACTGTTCACGTACACTGGATCACCCTGGATATCCCACACGCATCACTCTAATCCTCGAGCACACACACACACTCACTACTAACTACAGCTATGGCAGCTATGGCTGCCTCTAACCTATCGCTATGCTAACTCCTCCTCTCTCGCCCACTGCGTCCTCCGGGCTCATCTGCAGACCTCCTTGCACAAGTCGCTGTGGCAGCGCTTCCGCATGGCTCACACAGGAATGAATGAATGGCTGGGCGCTGCCTCTTGATTTATACTTCAGAAACTCGTTGGTCTGCCCTTTGCCATCGGCCCTTGGTGCTCACAGTCCCCCTGTGGTACTTGCTGGACCGGACTGGGACTGACTGGACCTTCCGCTGACTGACTGTGGACTCACCGCTATCCTACCGACGTTGTACTGCTGTTGCACTGCGGTTTAGTCCACCACTTGCCTCATCACTTGACCACTTGCCCAGTTGCCTACCTTCTAGAAGGTCTACAGCTAAGCTTCCGGAACTCACTAAGACTCCTACGCTATAGACCTACAGATCAAACCCCTGCTGCCTATGGACCTACGACAGGCCTACCAACTGCCTACGAATACACAGGTCACAGGTTCAATTCTCGGGGTCTACACAGATACTGTACATGGGTAGGGTGAGGTCTAGGGATCGAACCCTGGGTACTGCATCCGCCACTGCTAAAAGGTGAAAACCGTTTCACTCCCGCCGTCCTAATTTCGAGGTCCTCCGAGAAAATTTCAGTCCAAGGCGGGACCTTTACCTTTCTTGTCACGCTCATAGGCTCTGACTATGTCGGGAGCAGTCTCTAGAAGTTCTGCTTTCGTGAACCAGCGGTTGTCTTTCGGTTCCTGATAGGCGAACCGGTCTTTATACTGTTTTTGGGGATGACCTCTACCTCCTGTCCTAAACACATCCTCTTCTACAATGCCCTCTATGTCATAGCTCCCATCCATATCCGGTGGGATCATGGATCTCCTGGAAGGGAACTGTTGACTAGTGACACACAGCAGCAGCTTTGAAGCATGAAACACAGGGTATGTGTGGAGGTGTGCTGGAATCTCAATGATGTAGGACGGTCCATCCTCTCCGCCCTTGACTTCTAGAACCGRCCACGGTCCTCTATATGCAGGCAGTAACTTCTGCGAGATGTTTTCTTCCGGTGCAAACTCTTTTGCCTTGACCCAGACTAAGTCGCCTACTTGAAACTGTGATGGGCGACGGTGCTTGTTAGCCTGCTCTATCATTCTGTGCTGGGCCTTCCGAAGGTTCTCAACAACTGTGGTTATCTCCTTTTCGTGCTGTATCGCAAACTCCCTGGTACTGGGCGGTAATTTGTGAATCTGATCCTGATTCAGTCCTTCGAACGGTCTACGCGGTCTAAAGGACTTGTGCAACTCATTGGGAGTGCGGCAGGTGGATAGATGCACGCTGTTGTTGTATGCACTAGCTACCTTAGGCAACATCTCATCCCAGTTAATCTGATCTGGTCTGATGTACATGCGCAAAACTTGCTGTAGGATCTTGTTCATTTGTTATGTCTGACCGTTAGTCTCTGGGTGACGGTCGGACGACATTAACAACTTAGATCTGTAGACTCTCATGAGTTCTTGCCAGTTCTGGCTGGTGAAACGACTGTCTCTATCACTAACTATTGACACTGGGATTCCATTCTCACTAACCCAAAAGTCAAAAAACTTTTGTATAACTAAGTCTGTACGTGCCTCTGCAGGCAAAGGGACGAAAACTGCATATTTACTAAAATGGTCCACTACGACCATGACTTGGCTCTTACCATGTCTACTCTTGACTTGGGTGTCCATGAAGTCTATGGACACATAGTCTCCCGGTTGATCCGGAATAGGCAAGGGTCTGAGAAGACCTAGGGGCACGCGTGTAGTAGACTTATTCCTTTGGCACACTTTACAATTGCGGACATACTCCGTGCAGTCATTCTTCATCTCTGGCCAGGTATATCCACGCATCAGGTTGGCTAATGTCTTTTGCCACCGAAATGCCCTTCAGTATCGTGGCATTCCCCTAAAATCAAACTGCGGATCTCTTCGCTGTTGGGAACGCACAGGCGGTCAAACACATTAGTCTTCTCAAACAACAACCTGTCTGTAGTGCGGTAATCTGGTTCAGTCTCTGGGGCCTCTCTAACTCTCTTTAGGAGGTCGCTATAGATAGGGTCCTGCGCATATGCTTACCTCACTTTCTCCTGCAGGTCTCTCCCTATATCCAGATAGTGTACTACAATTCCAAAGTAGTCCGATCTCCTACTCAGAGCATCCGCAACTACGTTGTACTTGCCCTTCACTGGCTTGAGCTCAAAGTCGAATTGGTCTATCTCTGCGGCCCACCTAGTCAACTTAGGTGTCATCTTGGCCTGAGTCTTTAACCATCTAAGCGTTTCGTGGTCCAAATACACTTTGAAGTGCCTCCCATGCTGCTTCCAATGATCTAAAGCCTGCCTGAGAGCGTAGAGTTCTCTCTCGTACGTGGAGGCAACAACCTTTTCACAGGGCATCCTCGCTGACATGAACTTTACGGGTCTATAGCCATTGTCGTCGTCTTGCTGCAACACGGCGCCTATCCCATACTGACTCGCGTCCGTGGTGACGACAAATGGCAAAGACGGATCTGCAACTTTGAGGACAAGATACTCTATTAACGCGCGCTTTAGCTTCTTGAGCGCAGACGTACAGTCTTTGTCGCATTGCCAGATTGCCTTTTTCTTCAGCAATCGGCGCAAGGGAGCGACGATAGTGGAAAAGTTCCTCACAAACTTCCTATAGTAGTTAGCTAAGTCTAGGAACGACTGCAACTCTGTCAATGTGCGGGGCGTCGGCCAATCTCTAATCGTCGCGATCTTGCTGTCCTCTGGCTTGATGCCATCTCCGTCTAATACGTGGCCCAAGTACAAAACTTGTGTCTTGGCCCACTCACACTTCTTCGCGTTGATCTTGAAGTTAGCCTCTCTAAGCTTCTCCAAGACCTGCCTCAGATGACCCTGATGCTCCTGGAGGGTCTTACTAAAAACTAGGATATCGTCTAGATAGACTACTACAAACTTATCTAACCATGGTCTAAACAGGTCATTCATACAACGCTGGAAGGTAGCTGGCGCGTTAGTTGGGCATCACTATGAACTCATAGTGCCCGTATCTAGTCCGGAACGCAGTCTTGTACTGATCATCAGAGTGAACTTCTATTTGATGGTATCCGGACTTTAAATCTATCTTAAAGAAGTACTTACAACTCTGCCCCCGATCTAAAAGATCGTCTATCCTGGGCAGCGGCTCAGCATTCTTCACGGTGATCGCATTCAAACCCCTATAGTCTATGCACATACGAAGCTCTCCTTCCTTCTTGGGGATAAACAAAACGGGTGCTCCAAAAGGAGACGAACTGGGCCTGATCCAACCCTTCTCAAGGAGTTCGTCTAACTGCTTGCGAAGCTCCTCTAACTCTCTAGGGGACATCCTGTAGACTGCACCCTTAGGAGTTCTACTGCCAGGCTCTATCTCTATCCTGTGCTGGATGGGTCGCGACACTACTCCTCTCGGCGACTCAGTCAAGTCTTTGAATTTTTCCATCAGCTTGGCAATTGTTGGATCTGTGGAGCTATCCTTTTCCTGGGCCTCAGTGACAGGTCTAACATAAACTACAAAGACCTGGTCTTCTAACCGCTCCTTTTTGACTAATCGCGCGAACGCGGGAGCATTGAGACAGCAATGTGCCAAGGTGTTGTCTACACCCGACACATGGAACAAGCGGGCAAACTTAACTTCGCCTGTCGGGCTAGGGAGCCTACACTCATGCTCTCTCAAATGAAGTGTGGCCCCTGCTGCCTCTCCCCAATCCATTCCCAACACTATATCAAAAGGAAGGTCATCTTGCACAAGGAGAGTCAAAGAATGGAGGACGTTCTCCACTTTTCCATTCTTCTCTAGGCGAAAGTACGCCTGGACTCCCTCTACGTAGTCCTCAACGCGCATCGTGCGGTTGTCTGCGAGGACACTGACTATGGGGTCTACTAGTTTCTTGACCTTTAGTCCTAGCCTCAGCTTCTTCAGCGCCCTACGGCTAATGTAACTACGGGTAGCCCTCGAGTCTATAAGGGCCCCTACTCTACTTCTGGACACCTCTACATCTACCAAAATCAGCTGTCCCTTACTCTCCCTTTTCATTTTGGCCCAGGCTGGCATCCTCTCCTTTAACTCTTCTGCCACACCTGTGAGGGACGTGCCTAAAGAGACGCTAACACAAGCAGTCTCTGGACAACTATCTAGGCACGGGCCTGCAACCTCTGCCATAGGCTCATTTGGGTTGGGAGTGTCCTGTTCGCGCGCGCTCACTTCTCCACATGGCCTGGAAGTAGGGGCAGTTGCGACCCCTACTGGCGGATGCCTTTTGACGACTGAGCAGCCCAACGGGCCTATTTATACTTTGGACAAAAAATAATTACGTGCGCCGGGTCACCACAAAATACGCACTGACCCATGTTCACGCGTTCCTGCCATAATCGTTGGTCCAAGCCCAAGTCTTCCCAGGGCCTGCCCTGCGGCAAGCCTGGGTGCCATCCTCCTTGAGGTGCCCTTCCACCTCCTCGTTGTGGGGACCGGTTACCCTGACGATTTAACGGGGGACCTTGACCCCTACCTCCCGCTTGGCGGTTTCCCTGCCTGCCAACCCCCTGTGCGCCTGGTCCTCGGCCTCCCATGGCCTGGCCCCTTTGGCC